ACAATGATCATTATACTTTCTGCACCAGCAATACACAATATCCAACTCAAAACAGGTATCTATTGTAATTCGTGTTATGATGCAAAAAATTACACGTCAGTGTTGAAGGGTTGGGCGGGGTCAATCATGAGGCAAAATGGTGTTCGTGCATAGCCAGGCCTTGAAGATCAAAAAGTTAGAAGGTGTGTTTTAATTGTTTTATCAACAAACATTTCTGGCCACAGTTCATACTTTCATAGAGCAATACTGTTTTAGATTATGTTAACAATTTCTTAACCGTTGTATCCACAATCTGAATTATCATATCGATACCACCTTTCTTTCATACTCGTGAAATCAATATAACGATCGCAATACAGATATCAAGGAGCTATGATGATGATGATGAAGATTGTGGCAGTATTTCTACTCGTGGCTGGATTTAATGGTAAGCAAAATGGTGGTTTATTTTAATCTGATTTAATTTGCGAATTTCTATCGATTTATTACTAATACATGATATCGACATTACATTGGTATTTTTACACCAAACATTCAAAAAAAATACCCAATTACAATGTAACCCAATTTAGTCTATCGTTTTGATAGGGAATAGGATTGTTCTGGATGTATTTAATGTGAAACTGGAGTTTATGAGAAATTCAGATAACCCATTGAGCCCCACTATAACAGGTGGGAGATGCACTTATTTAATCATTGATTAATCTTTAATTAACGCGTATTTAATATTACAACTTTTCAGCTCAACAAACAACACCATGTGTTAATAAATTTGACACTATGAATGGTTTTGAAAACATGTGTAATATACATATTACACTTGGGCAAGGAAACTGCCTAGGAGCAAAAGAAGAAACACTTAGAGAAAATTGCGCTAAAGCTTGCGGTTTCTGCTATTAGCTAACTGGGTGCTAAGTGATGACGTGATCACGTGATACTTGCTCTAACTTGCAGTAGCGCGGGACCGCAGTACACGTAGACACATGGCTATGTGATCACGTGATACCTGATGGGTGGAGGTTACGAGGACAGTTATTCATTGTTATCTTAATCAATGGGCACAATAAGTTGATTTCTGTAATCATAGCTTACAATCTTATAATGTGTTTAAAACGATTCCGTATTACTATACTATTCTTCTAAACTGTAACAATTTTCCTGTATTTGATGCTTTTAGCATTTGAATTTAAGTATCTGTCTTATTTGTAAAAATTAAACATAATGTTATCACAGATACAGCAATCAATCCGCTAGTTGATTATTTTTATTAACAGTAGATAAAAAATGGTCTGCTCTAAAGTAAAGTATAAAAAACACATTAGTTTGTCGAAGTCCTACCGAGTATAGCATTTTGCATAATAATAACAAGCAAACAACAAGCAAACAACAAGAAAATAACAAGCAAACAACAAGCAAACAACAAGCAAACAAACAACAAACAACAAACAAACAACAAGCAAACGACAAGCAAACAACAAGCAAACAACAAGCAAACAACAAGCAAACAACAAACAAACAACAATTTAGTGGTACTGAACAGAGGGATTTTATTAGTCTGTGATTGCTATTGACTAGACACATCATTGGATAATACGAGTAATATGCATGATCACAGTGCTGGCAAGCACGACCGTTGTATTTATTGTGGGTATACTATGTACCCCATTTACTATTATACCCCCTTTACTATTATACCCCCTTTACTATTAAACCCCCTTTACTATTATACCCCCTTTGGTACACGTTACAAGCCTCTTTCGTGCACGCGAAGCGTGCACTCCGGCCGAAGGCCGCCGCCTCCGGCAGGAGTTTTTCAGGCATTAAGACTCATCGGAAGTCGTTCAGCAGATTTATTTTTAGTTCAAAACATTCTAATTTGATGTCAAAGATGACAGGAATAAAAAATAGTTATGTTGACATTTTTAAGAAATTTGCATAAAATACTCGCCAGCACTGTTATACGAAATTCGGTAAAAAACCCAAAATCGCCATATTCAGGTGCCTTAAAAACCATGTTAAAATTGAGTTAGAGATCTGAAATTTTTCAGGGCGTCTAGACGTTGACCAAATCGACTGCAAAAAAAGTTTCAGGTTTCAGGAGCATCGGGAAGTGGGTTTTCTAGAACCCCTGTTTTACGATAGATTGTCGTGATACATATATATGTATATAAGCCCCCTCCCGGGTTGCAACATTGCCATGTTACGCAAATAATTGCCGCGCTAACGAAATATTTGCCATCTTAGCAAAATATGCGCCGTGTTATGATGTATTTGCCAGGCTGCGCGTGATGATGCAAATATTTCATAAGGAGGCGAATTTTACGTTAGGAAAATGCGCATTCTTAGCAAAATATTTGCCAAACGGTCTGACGCGCGCTGCACGCTCCTTTTTAGTTTGTTTACGCGAGAATGAAATCTTCGCATTCTTAGCAAAATATTCGCCTCCTTATAATTTATTTGCGCGAGAGTTAAATCTACGCTTTCTTAGCAAAATATTCGCCACCTTATAATTTATTTGCGCGAGAGTTAAATCTACGCTTTCTTAGCAAAATATTCGCCACCTTATAATTTATTTGCGGGAGAGTTAAATCTACGCTTTCTTAGCATAATATTTGCCGCCTTATAATTTATTTGCGGGAGAGTTAAATCTAGCTACGCTTTCTTAGAAAAATCTTTGCCACCTTATATTTTACATAACTTCATTTGTGATAGGAATTAGGATCATATGCTGCTTACGACTCTGCAGTGGATCACATACTGTATACGTGGATTGAACTGACCCGAAGGAATTATGATCAGTGGATCGAAATACATAACGTGACCGACGAATCGCGTCCACAAGATCACTTCGAAATAAGTAACGTGAACCGGCCTGACGATTCACTTGATGAGTTTATGATCCAAAAGAAGGATAGGATCTGACCTGAACTTGGAAATAAGATAGGATATTGTGTCGCACTGAATATAATAGAGTACGCTACCTGGATTGTAGTGCGACACATACTGTAGTCAGTGTAGTGCGAAAGATTACCTTTATAGTGTTAGCAGTTAAAAATCTAAACTTCATCCCGTTTTAAATATCAAACCACAGTACGAATTATTGCACTAATGCCGGTTATAATGAGGTCTAAAACACACGCTCAAAGTTAAAGTGTGTTTATATTCACCAATTAAACTTTAGTTGATGTTAACTTGTTAATTATAACTGTGTACGAGTACGACTACCTACCTAACAGTAACCGCTTCGATTTGTTTAACAAAACATCATTTTCCGAACTAGAGTGCGGTACCTATGACTTAGACTTTACTCCGCTAGAAACAACAAAATTTAAACAATTGGACAGTAGCGAATCTACCTAGCGAACTTTAGTGTTAGAACTTAGCGGTGACCGACAACTAGGAACCTCTCATTCCGGCCTCCCACAGCTAGGTATCACATCACATGGCCCAATCAGTGACGTATCATTTGTGATGTGAAGTATTTGTGTTTGAGAAGTGTTTGAGCTCTCGGCATGTTTTCACATAACGGACGTGAGCCAGGTCCAAAAGGGGCTGGTTCTCGTATCCAAGGATGTGAGCCGAGCATGCACTGAAGCGGAAAGCTGCTGAACAGCCCAAGGCAGTAGAGCCAAGGCGTCCGGATCTGCACAGCACTCTGAAGCGAAGACCTCATAAGAATTCCTTCTACATGCACCTCCACGAGACGGGACGAGCCCTTTGTTATCTTCGGCGGGAAGACAGATCGGAATGTACAGGTCGTTGCCTTCTCTACAGCCCGGAACCTTGCTACGCTGGCATGGTAGCAACTGGATTGCAGACGGCACGTTTTACGTCGCCCCGAATATATTCACCCAGAGCTATACGATTCATGCTGTTATTGACCAGAAATTTTTGCTGTGAAATCAGTGGATACCTGAAGATTGAGAGATGGACGCCTCGAGATTGTTCTACAAGGGCCCCCGACTGTTTAAACCAACTTCAATCGGTGTATTTTCGAACGCTGATTCCGAATAACCCCTCATGACATCGATCACGTGATATGACCGTAAGTTGACCCGAACTAAAGTCAACTACCTTCAGAACACGCACTGAAGTCCACCAGGGAAATATATTGAAAAATCTATTTTGTCAAATTCGAAGAAAACTTTTTGTGAATTACCTAAGTTATGTTTGTAAACAGTAAAATAACTAATTCGTCAATCATGGATATGCAGATGATCCAGTTTCTCTCTAAACTTAAAACTCCGTAATATTTTAAATCGATTTACTCGCGCATTCTTGGAAAAATAATTGCCAAACAGTTTGACGCGCGTTGCACGCCCCTTTTTGGTTTGTTTACGCGAGAATGCAATCTTCGCATTATTAGCAAAATATTCGCGTCCTTATAATTATTTGCGCGACGCAAATAAATCTTCGCTTCCTTAGGGAAATATTCGCCACCTTATAATTTATTTGCGAGAGGATTCAATTTGTGTTTTTTATGTTCGCGCAGTTCTTAGCAAAATATTTATCTGAACGAAAGCTCAAAATTTACCGAGAAATTGACCGTCTAATTAATCTATTTTGATGACTGTTTCTGACCTAAAATTGCACAAAAAATCGATTTAACTAGGTTTCAGAACCTATAAACAAATCCTTATTCCTCAAAATTTATGTTTTATAGTTAATACGAGCAACAAGCAACGCCAACATGTAGGTATATTGTATTGATCCTTCGGTTCTACAGCTCTTGACCTAGGGCTGAAACCGTAAGATCGAGGCAATCCTCACCTCAACTGATCGAACTTGATCGGAGAGCAGAGTACGACAAAACACAGCAGGTAAGCAATTCATTTTTGTGACTGTTCCTCACCTGTACAACGTTGCACGAGAAATCGATTTAAATTGGTTTTACAGCCCTAATCATGACCTACGGAGTTGAACTTAAGCTGAGACCGAAAGATCGAGGCAATCCTCACCTTCAATGATCGAACAGGTACTACTAACATCGATCACGTGATATGACCGTAAGTTGACCCGAACTAAAGTCAACTACCTTCTGAACACGCACTGAAGTCCACCAGGGAAATATATTGAAAAATCTATTTTGTCAAACTCGAAGAAAACTTCTTGTGAATTACCTAAGTTATTTTTGTAAACAGTAAAATAACTAATTCGTCAATCATGGATATGCAGATGATCCAGTTTCTCTCTAAACTTAAAACTTCGTGATATTTCAATCGATTTTACTCGAATTCTCTTAAAACCAATACCTAATAACGGTCTGACGCGCGTTGCACGCTCCTTTTTAGTTTGTTTACACGAGAATGAAATCTTCGCATTGTTAGCAAAATATTCGCCTCCTTATAATTTATTTGCGCGAGAGTTAAATCTACGCTTTCTTAGCAAAATATTCGCCTCCTTATGATTTATTCGCGCGAGGATTGAATATGCGCGTTTTTAAGTTCTTACTTCTTAGCAAAATATTTATATGAACGAAAACTCAAAATTTACCGAGAAATCGACCTTTTTATTAACTCATTTTGATGACTGTTTCTGATCAGAAATTGCACGAAAAATCGATTTAACTAGGTTTCAGAACCTATAAACAATTCCTTATCCGTCAAAATTGATTTTTTATAGTTAATACGAGCAACAAGCAACATATATTTTGATCCTATTATATGGTTCTACTCATGATATGACCTAGGGAGTTAAGCTGAAACCGAAAGATCAAGGCGATCGAACAAGTAGGTACTAACACAATTTTCAGATAGAAATGTTCGTTGCAATATTATTTTTATTGCAGCTTTGCAACTTGAGCGAAGTAAAGAGCAAAGTACGAAAAAACACAGCAGGCAAGCAACTCATTTTGGTGACTATTCCTCATTTAACTGCTAACGTTGCACGAGAAATCGATTTTAGTTGGTTTTAAAGCCCAATAACGCTTTTACGTTTCATTAGAGACCAGAGAGAGAGAGAGAGAGTCAGGACCAGAGAGAGTCAGGATCAGCGAGAGTCAGGACCAGAGCGAGGCCCAAAATCATAGAGAGGCAGGACCAGAGAGAGAGAGAGAGAGTCAGGACCAGAGAGAGAGAGAGAGAGAGTCAGGACCAGATAGAGAGTCAAGACCAGAGAGAGAGTCAGGACCAAAGCAAGTCTGAAACACAGAGAGATTCAGGACCAGAGAGAGAGAGTCAGGACCAGAGAGAATCAGGACCAGAGAGAGTCAGGACCAGAGACAGCCAGGACAAGAGACACTCAGGACCAGAGAGAGAGAGTTAGGACCAAAGAGAGTCAGGACCAGAGAGAGATAGTCAGGACCAGAGAGAGTCGGGACCAGAGAGAGAGAGAGAGAGAGAGAGAGAGAGAGAGAGTCAAGACCAGAGAGAGAGAGAGAGCCAGGACCAGAGCAAGTCTGAAACCCAGGGAGAGTCAGGACCAGAGAGAGAGAGAGAGAGAGAGAGAGAGAGAGAGAGAGAGAGAGAGAGAGAGAGAGAGAGAGAGAGAGAGAGAGAGAGAGAGAGTCAGGACCAGAGAGAGTCAGGACCAGAGAGAGAGAGAGAGTCAGGACCAGAAAGAATCAGGACCAGAGACAGCCAGGACAAGAGACACTCAGGACCAGAGAGAGAGAGTTAGGACCAAAGAGAGTCAGGACCAGAGAGAGATAGTCAGGACCAGAGAGAGTCGGGACCAGAGAGAGAGAGAGAGAGAGAGGACCAGAGCGAGGCCCAAAATCATAGAGAGTCAGGACCAGATAGAGAGTCAAGACCAGAGAGAAAGTCAGGACCAAAGCAAGTCTGAAACACAGAGAGATTCAGGACCAGAGAGAGAGAGTCAGGACCAGAGAGAATCAGGACCAGAGAGAGTCAGGACCAGAGACAGCCAGGACAAGAGACACTCAGGACCAGAGAGAGAGAGTTAGGACCAAAGAGAGTCAGGACCAGAGAGAGATAGTCAGGACCAGAGAGAGTCGGGACCAGAGAGAGAGAGAGAGAGAGAGTCAAGACCAGAGAGAGAGAGTCAGGACCAGAGCAAGTCTGAAACCCAGGGAGAGTCAGGACCAGAGAGAGAGAGAGAGAGAGAGAGAGAGAGAGAGAGTCAGGACCAGAGAGAGTCAGGACCAGAGAGAGAGAGAGAGTCAGGACCAGAAAGAGTCAGGACCAGAGACAGTCAGGACAAGAGACAGTCAGGACCAGATAGAGACAGTCAGGACCAGATAGAGAGTCAAGACCAGAGAGAACGTCAGGACCAAAGCAAGTCTGAAACACAGAGAGATTCAGGACCAGAGAGAGAGAGTCAGGACCAGAGAGAATCAGGACCAGAGAGAGTCAGGACCAGAGACAGCCAGGACAAGAGACACTCAGGACCAGAGAGAGAGAGTTAGGACCAAAGAGAGTCAGGACCAGAGAGAGATAGTCAGGACCAGAGAGAGTCGGGACCAGAGAGAGAGAGAGAGAGAGTCAAGACCAGAGAGAGAGTCAGGACCAGAGCAAGTCTGAAACACAGAGAGATTCAGGACCAGAGAGAGAGAGAGAGTCAGGACCAGAGAGAATCAGGACCAGAGAGAGTCAGGACCAGAGACAGCCAGGACAAGAGACACTCAGGACCAGAGACAGTCAGGACCAGAGAGAGAGAGTTAGGACTAAAGAGAGTCAGGACCAGAGAGAGATAGTCAGGACCAGAGAGAGTCGGGACCAGAGAGAGAGAGAGAGAGAGTCAAGACCAGAGAGAGAGAGAGAGTCAGGACCAGAGCAAGTCTGAAACCCAGGGAGAGTCAGGACCAGAGAGAGAGAGAGAGAGAGAGAGAGAGAGAGAGAGAGAGAGAGAGAGAGAGAGAGAGAGAGAGAGAGAGAGAGAGAGAGAGAGAGAGAGAGAGAGAGAGAGAGAGAGAGAGAGTCAGGACCAGAGAGAGTCAGGACCAGAGAGAGAGAGAGAGAGAGAGAGAGTCAGGACCAGAAAGAGTCAGGACCAGAGACAGTCAGGACAAGAGACAGTCAGGAAGAGAGAAAGAGAGAAAGAGAGAGGGAGAGCGAGAGAGAGCGAGAGAGAGCGAGAGAGAGAAAGAGAGAGAGAGAGAGAGAGAGAGAGAGAGAGAGAGAGAGAGAGAGAGAGAGAGAGAGAGAGAGAGAGAGAGAGAGAGAGAGAAAGAGAGAGAGAGAGAGAGAGAGAGAGAGAGAGAGAGAGAGAGAGAGAGAGAGAGAGAGAGAGAGAGAGAGAAAGAAATTCAGGACCAGAGAGAGAGTCAGGACCAGAGAGAGAGTCAGGACCAGAAAGAGAGAGAGAGTCAGGACCAGAGAAAGAGTCAGGACCAGAAAGAGAGTCAGGTCCAGAGAGAGAGTAAGGATCAGAGAGAGAGTCAGGATCAGAGAGAGAGTCAGGATCAGAGAGAGAGTCAGGACCAGAGAGAGAGTCAGGACCAGAAAGAGAGGCAGGTCCAGAGAGAGAATCAGGATCAGAGAGAGAGTAAGGATCAGAGAGAGAAAGTCAGGACCAGAGAGCATTAGGACTAGAGCGAGGTTGTTTGTTCGAGTTACATAATAATTTTCAGGAATAAGAAAGCGTAAAAACTAAAAGCGTTATTGGGCTGTAAAACCAACTATAATCGATATCTCGTGCAACTTTAGCAGTTACATGAGGAATAGTCACCAAAATGAGTTGTTTGCCTGCTGTGTTTTTTTTGTACTTTGCTCTTTACGCTCAAGTTGCATAGCTGCAATAAACATAATATTGCAACGAACATTTCTATCTGAAAATTGTGTTAGTACCTACTAGACTTGTTCGATTGCCTCGATCTTTCGGTTTCAGCTTAACTCCCTAGGTCATATCATGAGTAGAACCATAGGATCAAAATATATGTTGCTTGTTGCTCGTATTAACTATAAAATATCAATTTTGAGGGATAAGGAATTGTTTATATGTTCTGAAACCTAGTTAAATCGATTTTTCGTGCAATTTCTGATCAGAAACAGTCATCAAAATGAGTTAATAAAAAGGTCGATTTCTCGGTAAATTTTGAGTTTTCGTTCAAATAAATATTTTGCTAAGAAGTAAGAACTTAAAAACGCGCATATTCAATCCTCGCGCGAATAAATCATAAGGAGGCGAATATATTGCTAAGAAAGCGTAGATTTAACTCTCGCGCAAATAAATTATAAGGAGGCGAATATTTTGCTAACAATGCGAAGATTTCATTCTCGTGTAAACAAACTAAAAAGGAGCGTGCAACGCGCGTCAGACCGTTATTAGGCAAATATTTTTTAAAAAATTCGAGTAAAATCGATTGAAATATCACGAAGTTTTAAGTTTAGAGAGAAACTGGATCATCTGCATATCCATGATTGACGAATTAGTTATTTTACTGTTTACAAACATAACTTAGGTAATTCACAAGAAGTTTTCTTCGAGTTTGACAAAATAGATTTTTCAATATATTTCCCTGGTGGACTTCAGTGCGTGTTCAGAAGGTAGTTGACTTTAGTTCGGGTCAACTTACAGTCATATCACGTGATCGATGTTAGTAGTACCTGTTCGATCATTGAAGGTGAGGATTGCCTCGATCTTTCGGTCTCAGCTTAAGTTCAACTCCGTAGGTCATGATTAGGGCTGTAAAACCAATTTAAATCGATTTCTCGTGCAACGTTGTACAGGTGAGGAACAGTCACAAAAATGAATTGCTTACCTGCTGTGTTTTGTCGTACTCTGCTCTCCGATCAAGTTCGATCAGTTGAGGTGAGGATTGCCTCGATCTTACGGTTTCAGACCTAGGTCAAGAGCTGTAGAACCGAAGGATCAATACAATATACCTACATGTTGGCGTTGCTTGTTGCTCGTATTAACTATAAAACATAAATTTTGAGGAATAAGGATTTGTTTATAGGTTCTGAAACCTTGGGCTGTTTAGCAGCTTTCCGCTTCAGCGCATGCTCGGCTCACATCCTTGGATACGAGAACCAGCCCCTTTTGGACCTGGCTCACGTCCGTTATGTGAACACATGCCGAGAACTCAAACACTTCTTAAAATCCTTTATAATACACAACCACTTACTAAACTGTCATGTGAATAATATGGATCACATCACAAATGATACGTCACTGATTGGGCCATGTGATGTGATACATGTGGGAGGCCGGAATGAGAGGTTCCTAGTTGTCGGTCACCGCTAAGTTCTAACACTAAAGTTCGCTAGGTAGATTCGCTACTGTCCAATTGTTTAAATTTTGTTGTTTCTAGCGGAGTAAAGTCTAAGTCATAGGTACCGCACTCTAGTTCGGAAAATGATGTTTTGTTAAACAAATCGAAGCGGTTACTGTTAGGTAGGTAGTCGTACTCGTACACAGTTATAATTAACAAGTTAACATCAACTAAAGTTTAATTGGTAAATATAAACACACTTTAACTTTGAGCGTGTGTTTTAGACCTCATTATAACCGGCATTAGTGCAATAATTCGTACTGTGGTTTGATATTTGAAACGGGATGAAGTTTAGATTTTTAACTGCTAACACTATAAAGGTAATCCTTCGCACTACACTGACTACAGTATGTGTCGCACTACAATCCAGGTAGCGTACTTTATTATATTCAGTGCGACACAATATCCTATCTTATTTCCAAGTTCAGGTCAGATCCTATCCTTCTTTTGGATCATAAACTCAGGCCGGTTCACGTTACTTATTTCGAAGTGATCTTGTGGACGCGATTCGTCGGTCACGTTATGTATTTCGATCCACTGATCATAATTCCTTCGGGTCAGTTCAATCCACGTATACAGTATGTGATCCACTGCAGAGTCGTAAGCAGCATATGATCCTAATTCCTATCACAAATGAAGTTATGTAAAATATAAGGTGGCAAAGATTTTTCTAAGAAAGCGTAGCTAGATTTAACTCTCCCGCAAATAAATTATAAGGCGGCAAATATTATGCTAAGAAAGCGTAGATTTAACTCTCCCGCAAATAAATTATAAGGTGGCGAATATTTTGCTAAGAAAGCGTAGATTTAACTCTCGCGCAAATAAATTATAAGGTGGCGAATATTTTGCTAAGAAAGCGTAGATTTAACTCTCGCGCAAATAAATTATAAGGAGGCGAATATTTTGCTAAGAATGCGAAGATTTCATTCTCGCGTAAACAAACTAAAAAGGAGCGTGCAGCGCGCGTCAGACCGTTTGGCAAATATTTTGCTAAGAATGCGCATTTTCCTAACGTAAAATTCGCCTCCTTATGAAATATTTGCATCATCACGCGCAGCCTGGCAAATACATCATAACACGGCGCATATTTTGCTAAGATGGCAAATATTTCGTTAGCGCGGCAATTATTTGCGTAACATGGCAATGTTGCAACCCGGGAGGGGGCTTATATATATACATATTCAGGGATAGACGCTTTGCCAGTCAATTGTAGCCTGTATTTAATTGTCCATAGATTCAAAAGTATAAAAGATACAGCCATTTCCGACCACAGGTCTTGAAAATAATTGTTTACACTTTAGTTTACATTGAATAAACAAATTATTTGACGTCATGAACACCCCTTGATGACGTCATCAAGTTAACCGTTTTTAAAACTTGATTTTTGACAAAGTAATAACTTTTAAAAATGATTTTACACCATTGAAAAGTAATTGTATTCAAAATCTGAGGAAATTTTTACCTTAGATAATTGTTCAAGCATTCTGAAAATCTACCGGAAAGTTTTTCTAGCTTGCTCCTTCATAAAGATATTCGTCATTGAAGTTTGTGCTTTTTTGAAGAATTATTTTATAAAAACGTCAATTTTGCGATTTAGTATTCTCTGGTGTTGGGCCATGCCTTGGGTTGTGGAGCTCAGTTCTGCTTCCTATAAGTATAAATTGTGCATTAGGCTAGTTTTAAAGTTAAAAATCGAAAATTTGCACACGTGGGGACACGCCCAAATTGATAGAAAATTGCTAAAATCACTGAAAATTGCTGTTTTCGTCATTTTCTGTCAACTTTAGAGTGCCGTTGTGATTACAGTTCTTCTTGAAATACTTTGAAACTTTGCATGCTTTTTAAATTATATATAAAACAATCACATGCAAAAATTTACGGCGATTCAATATTGGATTCGCACGCAACGTCCGCTCAAAGTTTGCACGTGCGAAAGGTGAGAATTTTGCTCATTCGTGATTTCCAACAAATTCTGCTTTGCCACGACAGTTTAATGTCAATATAAATGAATTTAATGCCAACTGGAATGAGTATTAAGTGGCATATTCAGTCAGTGATCGACCGATATGCTTACCTAAACACAAGGAAATGTTTTTAAAGGAAAAATTTCGAAATTGTTGAAACTTCCTCCTTATTAATGAAGATATCAGTTTATATTTCGACTTTATAAAGTACCCTGACATTATAATCAAAAAGAGATGATATTTTACCAAAACCCATAATCATGGGTAGAGTGGACCGCTGCCAGTGTCTCTCTTTCCCAAACAAAAGGAAATGATATTAATTTGATTGACCGTTCTCAAATGCAAAATGATACCGAGAATGAAATCGGTCGCTCGCTTTTCCCATTCATTTACAATTGTAATAGATTAAAAAGAACTACCCAAAGGCAGCTGTACTCGGCAATAAAGATTCAATAAACTTCAGCTAATTCAATAAGTAATAACTACCACCCTTACCCCGAAATACTAGGTATCGACCCGAACGCAACCCAAAGAGATTTTTACAGCATCTGATTGATGTACCTAATCAATCGAAACTTATTACAATTCGTAAGCCGTGAATGAATGGGAAAAGCGAGCGACCGATTTCATTCTCGGTATCATTTTGCATTTGAGAACGGTCAATCAAATTAATATCATTTCCTTTTGTTTGGGAAAGAGAGACACTGGCAGCGGTCCACTCAACCCATGATTATGGGTTTTGGTCAAATTAACAATAATAATATATCTACAATAGCCTAAAGCAAAGAAGCTAAAATGAATATAGCAATAGTTATAATAGTGGCAATGGTGGCACAAGCTCAATCGCTTACTTGTTGGAAATGCCTGGACGCAAATTTGAAATCAGGGGTTAAAAATGCCTGTACCAAATACAGCGTTCAACAAGTATACTTATAGCCAGTTAGCTGCTAGTGCTAGCGTATGGATTTATTCCACTCAATTCTATTTATAATAAAAGGTCGTTCACATATTACGTAATCAGCCGAGGGGGATGTGGTTTCCAAATGATTACGCTAGTGTAATCTTGATACAATAGCTATGTGTAAAACTGATTACGGAGGGGGGGGGGGGCATCGATGGTAAATACGTCAAAAAATCGCCTGTAAATACCAAATACGCCGTATTTAAAAATTTTAAGAAATACGTGAAATAAAGCAAAATTTAGTGCTTAAATTCTTTGCAATGGTAAACTTTTTCAAAATACGCGCTTATTTCTTTCGAAATACGTGATTACAGATTAGTGATATTTGCGCGCGCGTCGCTGGCCTAGTGGTATATAGCAATACTTACAGACCAAGAAAATGCGAAATGTTCGATTTGGATCTCATTGAAATTACCTTTTAAACAAATTACGAAAAATTTTATTTGATGAAAATTTTGAATTAAAAATTATTAAATTTGAAAATAAGTTTTAAGATGATCATAGCGGACAGGCAACGCCTGGGTGAGCCGCGCACATCGGGCGATTTTATTAAGAATTTGAATGCGTGCGGATTGGCCTGCGCCAGCCAAATCCCTGCATTTTTAAAAATCAGATTAACAATAACACGTTCACTGTGTGCTTTAACAGGAGATACTCGTAAAATATTTGTTCCATATATCATTATCAGGTCATCAGGACCGTCGACGAGTCCAACTCGGCGCGCGTCACGGTTTACCTAAGTACCCCAGGCTATTATGTTCATAATAAACAATAAAGATTCGGCGGAATGACAGGCTAGGCTGAGCGCCGCCCAGTAAGTCACGGTAGGTTGTAAACCTACAATGTGTGCTTTGAGTCGCGTCGAAAGTTCTGGTCTGTAGCCTAGCTGTCATATTCTGTGGCCAGAGTGAACCGCCTCACTTTCACTTTCGTTCGCGTTCATAATTAATCCATAAATTTGAAATACGTAATTTATCATCGGGAAATACGTATGCGTAGTATCTACGCGTAGTCTCCCCAAAGGCAAAACGTATTTACCATCCTTGGGGGGGGGGGGGGGGGGGGGGAATAGTCAAAAAATTGATTACGTAATATGTGAACGACCCCTATAGTATGTTACCATCTAAGCATCTAGGGCCAAAATTTAGTTGGGTATTATTTAATCGAATGTATGTTTATTGATTGATTTATATGTGAAAATTGGTGGTAAGTAATAAAATTGTCTTTTCTCAGTGTCCGGCCGGAAAAGACGTGTGCGCATCTCTTGCCACGACCTTCTATGAGGGTAGCAGGTTCAGCTATATGAAAAGTTATAAATGTATGAAGGCGGCAGATGTGTCATCAGAATTGGATAAATGTAGGGGGTTAAAATCTGAATTTGAAAATGCTTTGGACGATTTAAGGGTTAAGCCTGTGCAATTGAAACATGCAACTATGGCTTGTGTAACGGACTTATCGTACCAGGTAGGATATATAAATTTGTCAGTATTTATTTGACCAAAACCCATAATCATGGGTAGAGTGGACCGCAACATGCAGTGTCTCTCTCTCCCAAGCAAAAAGAAATGATATTAATTCGAATAATTACCGTTCGCAAATGCAAATTAATTATACCGAGAATGAAATCGGTCGCTCGCTTTTCCCATTCATTTGCAATTGTAATGGATTAAAAATATTTGGGCGTGTCCTCACATGGGCTTTTACTAATTCGCTCGCCCAAAAATTTCACGTGACTTTGGTTTTTATGGTTTTGCAGCCGTACAAAACGGTTTTACATAAACCCTAATCCCAACCCTAACCCTAACCGTAACCCCGAAGCTAACCATAACCCTTACCACAACCCTAACCCTAACCCGAGCCCTAAACAATCGAATTCATGGTTTACTAGCCTGTCACGTGACCAAAACGGTTTTTTGCCCATAACTCTCGATCCGTGAAAGCATTTTTATCCTACGTCATGTGGGGTGATTCGGAATCAGCGTCCAAAAATACACCGATTTAGATCAATTTCACACCCAAAGGGCCCTATTTCACAAAAATTTTCTTAAAATTTGGGCGAGCGATTTAGTAGGAGCGCCTCACATGTGCAACTTTTTGATTCTCAACTCCGAAACTAGCCTGTTAGTGTTACACAATTTAGACCTTCAGGAAGCAAAATTGAGCTCCAAAACCCAAGGTATGGCCCAACACCAGAAAATACTAAATCACAACTTTTGTGTTTTTATAAAATTATTCTTCCAAAAGAACTAGCTTCAATAGCGAATATTTTTATAAAGGAGCAAGGTAGGAAACCTTTCCGGTAGATTTTGTCACCCACTCATCAGCAACTACTCTCCGCAACCTCCTCACCAAGACCGGACATACCTTTCATCTACAATTGCGATTAATCAAGCAACACTACCCAGAAGCAGTACTCGGAAATAAAGATTCGATAAACCTCAGCTAATTGGACACTAACTAGTTATTAACGTCTAGTTTATCCCAAAGTACTAGGTATTGGCTTGAAAACAAACCCTATGCCTAAGGGGTTTCCAGAAAGTGCCATCGATGTAATAAACCTAAAATTAAACTGATTAAAATTCGTAAGCCGTGAATAAATGGGAAAAGCGAGCGACCGATTCATTAACGGTATCATTTTGTATTTGAGAACGGTTATTCCAATTGATATCATTTCCTTTTGTTTGGGAAACAGAAACTTGTTGCTTTCTCGGAAAGTTGATAAGGCAATGAAAGTATCGTTAAAAGATGCGCTGTACAGAGCAACAGTTGCTAGTGCTCCTTCATAAAGGTAACGAATGTATTTTCAGAAAAGCCTTGGCAGATTTCTACGGAGCCTGAAAGTGAGTTAACAAAATTATTGATCAGATCAATTTCAGTTTATAACAAGAATTGCGCCCGTTGTTTCGTTTTGGCGGACGCTAGATTTCCATTTCACATTTACTATAAATTTAAGTATAAGCTCCAATCAGCTCATTTCAATTTTTATGATCTGATAATAATATTGATAAATTATGCATCAAATACGGCAAACACTTGAAATTCAGTTCAATTGCCGTAGAACTTAACTTGTATCTGTAATTCAAGAAATTATCAGCAAAGGTAAAACTAAACTATACTCGTGTACACATCAATACACTACGCGTGCCACGAACAAATTGGGCGTATTACCTAATAGTAATATTATACATTACATGCATCATATACATTAAAACACAGTCGCGCCGCGCATTCATAGATCACAGGCTATCTATACATCACATCTCCGCAAGCAATCCTCGCGCGCGCGCAACTTTTTCGTTGCATGGTAACGGACGTAAGGAAGGAAGGACACACGACATATTTAAACCCACCTATCTCGTTCTCCAAAATCCACGTTTTTCTGCAAAAACCTCCATCCGTAACCTTTCACTATTGCCTTTTTTCAAAAGGGGGAAAAGGAAAAAATTATTCAAGTCTTTTTATGTCTCACTACTTTAAAATGGAAGGCACGCTTGTTTAATACGGCCGAAGATTCATAATAAACTAAACTCGACTTACTTCAACTTTCTTTATTTACAATTTTTTAAATCTAAGAACAGTTAACTAACACAGCTTCATACTTAAAGATGACCCTTGTTGGTAGTAATCATCTCAGCAATGTCTTGTCCTCAGATATACTCCTATAACTCTAATTTCGTTTAAAGCAGACATACAGTAAGATGAAGCATCTTGCTTAATGGCTAGGGTTAGGGCTGGAGTCAGATTAGAGGGATAAGCTGATAAGGTTTTGAATAGTCACTAAGAAACACTCAGAGAACGTGTTAAAGTATAAGTCACGTGATTGTCGAGTGAATAAGAGTATAACTTTCGATCTTAATAGTTGAATAAGTTTTTCGAGTGATTCATGTTGAGCAAAACAACAGTCATGGACCAAATATTGGTTTTATGACGACAATTAACTGCCATACTTATTTATAAAAACTGTTATCTAACTGAGTGGTCTTGTTAGTCACGAAATCAAGCCATTTAATCATCATGTTATGTTTCTAACCCTGTACGATGCATGAAGTGTTGCAAATTGTTGCCTCAGGTGCCTCACTGCCTCTAAACTGGTGCTTCAAGGGCCTGATCAAAGTTGTGCTTCAAGGGCCTCAAAGTGGTGCCTTCAGTGCATCAGTGCCTCAAAGCGTCACAAGGTTATCTGAAGAAACTCCAACGGGAGACGATTGTGTTGATAAAGCGGATTCAGCCACTGAAAAATCATATAGTTTCTCAAACAGTTATACTGCGTTATTAACACTGTCCACTGATCACTTGGTCGCCTTTACCGCGCCTGATTCACAGATACCCGATTTAATGCGCCCCAATTTATTGCAAACCCCAATATACCTCACTATTCACTATTGTAAGCGAGAAACTGTTCTTGTTTTTGCTATAACAATGTTTCTAAAAAGAATACCCAATGGATTATCTCCCACTCCACTTCCAGACGATTGTGTTGACAGAGCAGACAATGATGGATCAGAGTACAGGGGAAAGGTAGCTGTCACAGAATCAGGACACAAATGCCAGAAATGGGACTCTCAATCACCTAACATACATGGTGTAACACCATCGAAGTAAATTTTCTTGTTGCTTTTTAAACCGTTCTACACTTCTAAAGTTATCCAAACTTTTTCTTGTTGCTTCTTATTTGGATTTATTCTTTTTTATGTTTGAGACCATCATGGTAACTTTGCAGATGGTATATTGTTAATAATCACTCTGTTTACCCACATAAGTATAATTATAATATTTTAGGAAAAGACCTCATCATAAAAACATTTTCAGGTACCCTAATTCAGGACTGCAAGAGAATTATTGCAGAAATCCAGACGGGTAAGTTTTCAATATCTGGTAGTGTTCCATAATTATTGTCATCAAGTCGACCACAAGGTATGGGCACAAACATTTATAAAATAAAATCTACAAAAAATTGCAATGAAGATGGATTTGGAAATATAAATGATCTATGAAATTTCTTTTCTGAAATTTTCCATTTTAACAGATGTCATTATTTTCCTCAGTGAACCAGGCGCCTGGTGTTATAATGCTGAGGGAACTAGTCCTCGATTTGAGCTCTGTGCTATACCTACATGTGGTAATTAACTGTGGTGAGTTCTGTAATTTTTTAAGGTCCAATTTATTACTTGTATTATAGTAGGGAACTGTGGCGTGTGCACTTTTTGCACAAGGTTTTTTGCAATTGAATCGAGTTAAATAAGTTATTCTAACTTGTAATAAGTTATTGATAACTCAAATCACTTACGGCCACAGTTTGTGTAGCTAGTCCTAGCTACTTCATTGGAAGTTATTAATAATTTTGAACGGACATTAAAATGAACACCAAAGGTCAGTCAACATACCTTGGCCTTTATAGCTCAGTCAGTGAGTGCCTGATTAAGATTATATTGTTATGACTTGCTATTATCACTCATTCGTGGAATATATCCAATCAAAGAAAATTCATGTTAATTTTTTCGAATGAAGATTCATTTTTGCAATTATTTGATAGATAATTTTAATAAAACAAATATTTAATAATATAAAACAAAGAGTATGCAATGTATGCAATGTTCCTACTTCCTGTAACATCACTGTAGACCGCTCTTCCATCGGTTTTTTTCAGTGACCAATCTAAAACCAAATCTTGAAGTTACACGAAACATGGAAGCCTGTGAGCTGGTCAAATCCTGGGGTTACACGAGACATGGTAGCCTGTGAGCGTGTAGACCGCTCCTCTATCGTTGTTTTAAGTGTCCGATCAAAAATCAAATCCTAGGGTACACGAGATTTGGAAGCCTGTCAGCATGTTAGAGTCTGTTAAGTGTTAGAGTCCTGGGGTTACACGAGACGTGGTAGTCTGTGAGCGTGTTAAATCCTGAGGTTACACAAGACGTGGTCAGTGGTAGCCTGTGAACGTTTCAAATATTGAGGTAATTACACGAGAAATGGTGGTAGCCTGTGAGCGTGTAAACCACTCCTCTATCGTTGTTTTGAGCGTCCGATCCAAAATCATTTCCTAGGGTACACGAGTCGTGGTAGCCTGTGAACGTGTAGACTGCTCCTCTATCGTTGTTTTGAGTGTCCGATCCAAAATAAAATCCTTGGGTTACACAAGATATGGATTATGGGAGCCTGTGAGCGTGTTAGTTTCCTGCGGAAGGTGTTATTTGCATGTGGACAAATCAATTATGCTGAGGTTCTAAAGTTAGTAGAGGCTATTAAGGCCTTTCCTTTGTTGTAGATATGGCTAGTCCCTTCCTTAGGTTAGAAACACCCATGCACCTCCTGTTCGAGCCATCCACCCCGGCCCACACCGCGTGGAATTTCAGTGAGGTTTTTCGTGGGGCAAGTTATGAGGCATCACCAATATGAATAAAGCAATAACGAGTTTATTCATTACGTGTGATCGACCTTGCTAAATCACTCTACAGTCGATCTTCGAGATTTTAAAAAAAGTTTAAACCAAATTGAATAGATGTATTTTCGGAATCACCCCTATGACATAGGGTTAAAATGCTCCCCTGGCGAGATATTGGCAAAAAACTGTATAGATCACGTGAAATGATCGTATAAGGAAGTTGGTTTAATTTCTCGTTAGGGTTAGGGTCTTAGCATATACTTTTGCATGGGATTTGGTTAGAGTTCGGGTTGGGATCAGATTAGAGGGTCGAATAGTCCTTCGGGGCCAGCTATATAATATTAGAGAACAGATTGAAAAATAATAGAGAACAAGTTTTAAAAAGTCACGTGACAGTGGAGTGTATAGAATAATCAATCATTTGCATCATCCACGTGTGATCAGGTGATTGGATTGACAAAAAAGCTTCCGTTATTTTTTCTCCGGCGAAATATTTGGAGTTGAAGTATCGCATCGGTCATATTTGGTTTTTGTAATGATCAATTTAAGTTACGGTTATATTTAAAATGTTTATATCTAATTGTCGAATAAATATTTGCAGGTCATCAGTTAGCCAGACAACTAAAAAGGAGCTGATGTACAAGAAGTTCAAACGAAAAGGATTATACAATTTAAATTTAGTGACTGAAATTTGCAGCAACTGGACTGTTTAAGTTTTTTTTGAACTTCATTGTTTTCATATTATAAAGTCTTTATGCATATAATTTTTTGGAGCATCAAACGTCTTTAAATCAGGATATACGCATATTATTATTATATATGTTTACTAGTATGTTATTTAATAAAGGGATATACTCGTAAAATATTTATTTCAAATATTCAAGAACGTCGACGATTTCAACTCGGCGCGTTTTGGTAATAGTAGATTATAAACCTAAAAGTACAATATTTTATACTACCTTATGATATATTTTAATTTGTCTTAAAACTGCATCATTATTTTGAGTGGGGTAAACCATGGTTCCAAATCAAATTATTCAGACTTCAGGTTGTTAAGTTTATTAAGTTAATAGGCCACACCCTTTTTTTACGCTCACGCAAGTAGCAGTTTAAATTTAATTAATCCACCTCTTAAACACCGGGTTGGAAGTTGTTTAGTCGGGAATGTTATAACCAGCTCCTTGATTACTAACTTTTAAGTAACTTTACAATACATCATGGGGGGGGGGGGGGAGGCGCCGTTTGAATGTGGGACAATTTTTAAAACAACGCGTTACGCCACTGACCCCAACTATCTCTATACCTGGAGATGCCGGAATTACAGACTCAAGAAATGTCCTGCTCGTGTATTGGAGTGTCAGCAACTGCAAAGGTTCAGGTCATTAACATTGCAATGTCCTGCTCGTGTATTGGAGTGTGAGCAACTGCAAAGGTTCAGGTCATTAACATTGCAATGTGCTGTGCGTGCAGAAGAGATTCACGTTATGAGCCATTTATTGAACTTCGTGACTCAATTCGAAGCTGCTTTTAATTTGGAGCGATAACACAATATATAGAGAAAATATATAAAGAAAATGATTTGAGCCGCATGAAAAATGAATTTTGACAGGATGTCCGCAGGTTAGTAGCGGAGTGACACGTGCTTTGCTCAAGGCGTCCACCGCACGAGCACCGTGTGGGATATTTAGTTAAGTTATCTAAGTATTAAGAAAAAGGACCTCGGTCAAGAACTATAAGCTGTCGCCGAAAAATAAAGCACTATACCTGCATATAGTCTATATAACTCTCATCGCATTCTGAATCTAAGATGACCTTTCTCTCGTTTCATATTACTGTAGACTCCTTTCGATGGGGACATGATTGATTTGAGAAGTAACTATAAATAGCAGAGCTCATTTTTAATTTTACCATTCATTTTTAACTTGCGTATCGGTTATATTATTAAAAGGTTAGAGTTGGTTTTATCAAAATGACACGCCTCGTTTCTATCACCCTTCTGGGATTGATTTACGTGCTCTGCGCTAGTGGTAAGTTAAGTTAAAATTTAAGCTTCAAGCTTCGTTTTTTGTTCTTATTATATATGATTCCTTATAGTTATAGTTATACAATATATGAGTCCTTATACAATATATGAGTCCTTATACAAAAATGATTTTCGAAAAATTTGGTTATTAAGTCTAATAAGCCCTTTGCTATAGCTATGGCTTTAAAAAACATTTTTAATGATCTGGCGGTATATCTATTCAGAAATATGCCCAATAAAAACTTGAGCAAAATATCGATTCTCAATTCTTTCTTACAGCGCAAAGTGGTGTTAACTGGCTTCCTTTCTCCGTCTCGGAACAAGCCGTCGTCTCCACAGACTTTTCTAACTTAGCCGTGGAGCGGTTCTACGTCAAGCTCCCTTGCGAGGGATCTGTTTGGTTCAAGCTCTTCCTCAGACGTGCTGATGGTGCCAACTCCCATGTCGAGCTTTACAGTAAGGTGAGTTATCCTTTAGTCATGAACCACCTTGCATGATTTATTGGCTTTCGTCATTCACATTTGTGTGGTTAAGTTCTTTTTTCAGGTTCGTTTGGACTTTAGGTTCCCGTTTTAGGCTTATTTCATATTTATTTAGATAAGTTCACAAGATATGTACTAAGATTGAGATTTGCCTGGGTATAAGAATGGAGGAAAGCAATGATTAGCTGTAGTCGTTACGTGTAGTTTTACCTCTATAGGTAAAAGGAAACATTTATTGTAACGCTGCTGGTGCGAGGAACTGGTATGATGGGGAGAAAACTGATTTCACCATGGAGGATGGGGCAATGAAATGTGAATCTGGCGACAAAAACATCATCCTTGTGTGAGTTTGGCATGTGGAGACCTTGGGAAGACACTATAAATGTTTTTATATCTCCCAAATAATGCTAAAATATATGCTTAAATTTGTTTTTTTAATGTCAAAGTGTGTTTTACATATTGAATTTGTAAATCGTACTCACTGATCTAAAACAATTACCAGGGTGGAGAAAACAGCTGACAGAGTAACTATCAAGAACAAAGGACAAGTTCTGTACACCAAGGCTTTCTCTGACAATGATGCAAACTGCCGTCAAGCTACCACGACCGTCAAAACACAAGTTTGGAACTACGATGACAGCCTGGGTCTCGCTGTCTTCGATAACTCCGCTCCACGTAAGTTCTGTTGCTTTTTTTGTTAGCTGCTGTTTTTTGTTGTGGAAGTTTTTAATTAATTCAGGTTATTTAAATCAAAATAATCAAGCAGCTGAAGCCATAACATTGTTGACTTAAGCTGCTCAATATTTTTAACCTTGCTCATCGTTCTCAATTACAACTCGATCTTGTTATTGTATTTTTCAATACCATGTTTATTCAATTAAGTAATTGATAATCCTGTTTCCCCAGTCAACCTTGTGAGTCAAGGAAGCTGTTTTGTCCAGGATTTCAACTACCAAGGAGCTGATATCAAGAAAATAACAAACGTCGACTCTGCCGATTCCTGTCTTGCTATGGTTTGTACAATCTTTAAACTTTTTTCAATTTAAATAAGTTTTAATTTTTTAAAGTAAATCTGAAAATCTTATACAGAAAACATCCATAATCTTTCCTTACTATTTTCACTTTTTTTCTCAAAATTATGGCTTTAAAATTAAAAACACAATCACATACTTTCAGTGCGGAAAACAAGCAGGATGTCTGTCGATGACGTACTATGGCACCGACTGCTGGTTGAAGAACCTCATGTACGGTCAGAACCCCGCCCCAAAAGTTGGATGTGTCAGCGCTAACCTTGCCTGTCAAGGTAGGACTAATAAATTTTTTTGACACGTGACAAAAATGAAAAACCAACCAATCAGCTTTGATTAATGATTATTACTGTCAAAAATATGTTTCACACTCTCACCTCCCCACCAGAATCAACGACTTTTAATGAAGTTAAAATAAACCGTTAATTTCAGGTGCAATGCTGATGAACAACAACTGCGTGAAAACTAACTTCGACTTCTGGGGAGCTGACATTAAGAAGGTCTCAGGTGTTTCGTCTGTCATGGATTGTGTTGGAGAAGCCAGGTCAGATCTCTGTCAGTATTTCAGCCATTGTACAATTTCAATTATCCCATAATTGTTGCACGAAAGAGAAAAAGTCATTATTTTTTATTAAATTCATTATTTTTCGTACGCGAATAAATCCGAAATTCCTCTGACCCATATAGCGTCCATTCTTAACTGCACAAAAAGTGATGTTTATTTAATATTTCATTGACGGTAAAGATATAAACCCCACAGGAAAACCCAAGATGCAAAGTCTGTGGCATTTGTTAAGGTCAATGGAGACTGCTGGGTCAAGTATTCGGAGAACGGAGCCAGACCTGAAGATAACGATCGAGTCGATAGTGTTGCTTTATCTTGCCTCGGTATGTATTTAAACCCAAGGATTTATTTCTCTGTGTGAGATGAATATTTTGGAGCCGTGCGTTGTGTTGTAGGTTTATATATTGACGATATTTCAATATTTCATATAAATATTTTACGGGTATCATAACAAGATTTTTCTGGAGTATCCCAGCACCTTTACTAAGCTATTCTTGTATTGTGTTCTATCGGGCATATATGATGTTCTTTAAAAGTCTAAACTTTAACTGAATTGAAAATAAAGCTCCCAACCGACATCATCCACTGTAAAACTCAGATTCTCGTTTGCTTTTACCTCAGACGGAGTAGCAGCTCAAGTGTCGTCTGGTAATGACTGTGTTGATGAAGGAGTTGACTACTGGGGTGCTGATATTAAGAACGTTAACCCCATCTACACTATCGAGGAGTGTGAAGCGCTCTGCTACGTAGAGGACAGTTGTGTTTCACTTACTCACAGGTTGAGTGGCTGCAGATCTTTTGTAGAAATGCTAAGTGTCTCATTTTTCTGAGTTTTGCTCCCAACCAATGTTTTTATGGCTGAAATAAAGTACCACCCCTTTCAGACCATCGACTCAGGACTGTTGGTTGAAGAGCAAACCTAATGGTGAAAATGGAAAATCAGCTCAAGATACTGTGAACAGTATTAACTTGAGCTGTTTCCTCGTTAACAGCGGTGAGTATAAAGTAGAGTATAAAGTAGAGTATAAAGTAAAGTATAAAGTATAGTATAAAGTAGAGTATAAAGTAGAGTATAAAGTAGAGTATAAAGTAGAGTATAAAGTAGAGTATAAAGTAGAGTATAAAGTAGAGTATAAAGTAGAGTATAAAGTAGAGTATAAAGTAGAGTATAAAGTAGAGTATAAAGTAGAGTATAAAGTAGAATATAAAGTAGAGTATAAAGTAGATTATAAAGTAGAGTATAAAGTAGAGTATAAAGTAGAGTATAAAGTAGAGTATAAAGTAGAGTATAAAGTAGAGTATAAAGTAGAGTATAAAGTAGAGTATAAAGTAGAGTATAAAGTAGAGTATAAAGTAGAGTATAAAGTAGAGTATAAAGTAGAGTATAAAGTAGAGTATAAAGTAGAGTATAAAGTAGAGTATAAAGTAGAGTATAAAGTAGAGTATAAAGTAGAGTATAAAGTAGAGTATAAAGTAGAGTATAAAGTAGAGTATAAAGTAGAGTATAAAGTAGAGTATAAAGTAGAGTATAAAGTAGAGTATAAAGTAGAGTATAAAGTAAAGTATAAAGTAGAGTATAAAGTAGAGTATAAAGTAGAGTATAAAGTAGAGTATAAAGTAGAGTATAAAGTAGAGTATAAAGTAGAGTATAAAGTAGAGTATAAAGTAGAATATAATGTAGATCTTGGAGCATTTGACAAGGATCATAATTCATGGTTGAGTGCCTTCATGGTGACAACTCAAAAATTACAAAACTTGATTTTTCTCTATAGCATCGCCTAAGACTCTTAAAGTTAAATCGTAAGTGGACATTAGGATTGTTAGAATTTGTTTTTTGAGGCAAAACATCTATCAACAATCTAAAGCTACAAGCCGGAATAAAATCTTCTCCCATTGTGACAATCGTCCTTCTAATGATAACCATGGAATCTTTATAGTCGAGGAGGGATGTGTAAAAGAAAGCTACGATTTCCGTGGAGCTGACATCAAACGGGTATGATATATTTAATTAAATACAATTTCTGAGCGGTACTGATTTAATTTCGCGAGATATCCAATTATCGCCTGAAGTCTTTTACGTTTAGGCATATTACAGCGCGCTTGAGTAAAGATAAAACAAGCCAAAATTTTCGAAAATAATACCAAAAGTCTTATCATCTTCTCGACCCGAACCACATCTCAGGTTGATAACGTAGTGTCCATAGAGGACTGTGCAGCATTATGTGCTGACCAGGCTGGCTGTGTTTCTGTGACCCACCAACCATCCACCTCCCGGTGCTGGCTGAAGAACAAAGAGTTCGGTGCTGATCCTCAGGATATGGCAGGAGTTAACAGCAGAAATCTCAAATGTGGAGGTTAATTGCGCGTTAATTAGTTGATTGCTTATTAATTTCATGATCGTGTAGGTTAGTTTATCAAATTATTTTAATTCTTCTTATCGACAGCTTTATTTCCTTCATTTTCCATGTTGACCCTGGTGCTGAAGTTTTAATTGCTGATAATGATTATGGTAGTATGTGGTCCCATCTTTGATTTCATCATATAAATGACGATGTTTGTTAAAATTCTATATAATTATATCACTCTCCCAGATGTTTGGTGCATGCACCTGGGTAGTTTCCTTTATTCTTACGCTTCCCGAACTAAATATGTAAACTTGGAGGATGCTCAAAAAGCCTGCGTGGAAAACGACGCCTGCAAGGGTATCACCCAGGTAACAGAGTAATTAATAAATTAATTAATTAATTACTTAATTGATTAATTAATTATCACCCAGGTAATAGAGTAATTAATTAATTAATCGATTATCACCCAGGTAAACTTTTATTTTTATATTAGGACATATTCGCTAGATTCGACAGTCAAACGATTCAAAACATTGCTTGCATTTGTTTGTGTTTATTGATTTCAAAGTAACTATATCGCTATTATATTGGGCGAAACTTTCTTCTATTATAATAATATGTTGGTTTAACTTTAAGTTTAAGAAAACACTCGTTAAATTTAGGCCTTTATTAACAAATCAAACTTCAGGAACCGTATAGCAGCAACAAATATACTTTGAGAAAAGGACCTGTCATCCACGATTGGAGTCCTACTAACGAAACATCGTGGACCCTTTGCTAATTAACTGATCGGTCAGTTATAAGTATGCAGAACGAAATGTGAATGAATGATTTCTCGTTAATAGAACAATACGAAGTATTAAAAATAAACATTTTAGTCATTTTTATCTGTTTTAACCGAGAGTTGATAAATCTATTTTTCGTTATTGCAATTAGTTTTATTATTCAAAAACTTGTTTCACTTATAGTTATAGTTTTAATTTACGATGTCAATTCATGGCAGCTCGGCGCGGCACAGTAGCGAATCTCGCCGATCTAGCCAGAGAAGCCTTATTAAGTGCGCGGCGCGGCACAGTAACGCATCGCGCTACAATAATAGTTATGATTCTTTTATATGAAATCTTTTTAAATATAAAGTTTTAATTTTATCGAGTTCAAACAAATTACTGAAAGTAAATTATTTGAATTTCAATTACGTACAACTACAAAGGCTTTGCTGAGAAAATAACCAGTCACGATTAGAATACATTTATATAATTTATTCGGCGATAATCTTTTTTTAGCGATTATAAGCGGTTCGAAAATAGTTACTTATAAACATGATTTATAATAGCTTCTTATACGGACCGGGAAAGCGATTATAATTGTCTAAAAGCGCCTAAAATGTAAAGTAAAGTGCTATATAACTATAATAAGTGTATCAATATCACAACAGCCAATGGAAAAGCGGTTGGTACTGGTACAGACAACCTTATAACGTAAATGTGGCACTGTGGCACTTGTGGCACTATATCATGTGGCACTTGCGGCACTCACATGTGGCACTTGCGACACTATCATCATGTAGCATGTGGCACTTGTGGCACTCACATGTGGCACTTGCGACACTATCATATGCAGCATGCGGCACTAGTGGCACTCACATGTGGCACTTGTGGTACAATACTGCTTTTTTTGTTGTTGCAAGAATCGTCAACTGAACTGGTTGCTACTTCAACTTTAAGTTATAAAATTGATTTTTACGATATTATCGTATTTAGTAGTAGTTTTAGGAATGTACAGTTTTTACTATAAAAGTTTGTCGTCGTATAAATTAGTTTTGTTATGAATTTTGTTATGACTTTTTTGTATCGAATTTTTGGATAAAGTTGATTGATTAAAAATAAATTAATGTACACAAATTTTGCCTCAGATATATGTTTTTTACGTTTTGAATTTTTAACACTTGTTTTTAGATCATGAATACGATGTAGTTACATTGAAACGTCGAGTAATCTCCTTTCCCTAATAAGAGCATTTTTACTTGTCGCAACAACCGGGATAAAGATAATTTTACCCAGAATACATTATCGTGAAATATAATTCTGCCCGATTCATACTGCGATCAGCAATCATAAATAACGCTCAAGACGATATTAATTTGTTTAATGATTGATATCATAATTTGGCTTGTTAAGCTTGAATTGATCAGTGTTCTTATCATATATATGAACCATAATTACATACGATTACGAATTACGAATGACATGATTGTATTACTATTGTGATCATCGGTCAACTACATGTGCCACATGTTACATATGTTAGTGCCACATGTGCCACATGTGAGTGCAGCAAGTGCCACATGATATAGTGCCACAAGTGCCACAGTGCCACATTTACGTGATAAGGTCGGCTCATTCCAAATCTCTCCATGACATAAAAAATTGCTTCCCTAATGGTTTATTTCATTATTTGTTATTGTTGATTAACAAAAACACTGCTATTTTGGACACGTTAAATACCAGTTAAACGCAAACAGCAAATTTTATTGTTTATGGTCAGAGTTTGGAGTAATACGGTTTAAGTTTATAGTTACCTAGCTTGCTAGTCTTTCTTGCTGAGAAGCGAGCAAGAGACCAGCAAGCTTGAACCTTAACCATAAAAGCTGAACTCAACACATAACAGAGCATATGAACTTACACTTAAATGTTTATAACATGCTGAAAATGAGATGCGTCTCGTTGCCGGTTCTAATTTCTGAAACATGAACAATTAAAACAAATATTAACCATTTTTATTACGGGTTACCTGGGGACCCCAGGCTATTATATTTATGTTCATAATTGCATAGAGATTCGGCGGAAAGACAGGCTGAGCGCCGCCCAGTAAGATTACGGGTACCATCCGTTGATGGGTATAATACTCTGATCGTCCACGGTAAATCTGATTTCAATGCCAAACTTTTATATACGGACGAGACATTTCCAACCTTGTTATTGATATTATTAATTAATTAATATCTTCTCACCCTGGTCCCCTGGTTTCCGTACTGTAGTGCGACACGTACCCTAGTGCAAAACCTTCAAGTTCGACACTGTCGCACTACAGTACGATACCTGTACTGTAGTGCGACACGACCTAAAGTGCGACAAAAAACTTTACATATTCAATTAAAATTTGACATTGCAATACAATGTTTACAATGTCGGCGATGTGGAGTCCTACTGTGGTACGGTTCCACCTCTCTGCTATAAAAGGAGAAGACTGGATACCGGCATGGCTGGAAAAAATGCGGTATCTCTAAATGTTGCCCGGTTGGGAGCGTACTTAAACACGCTTATCTATACCTTGACATTTTTTCATCGCCTCAATCAATTCTTTAAAAATCTATGATGCAATGCCCGAGGCTGCAGCAGTAGCCGCAACAGAAACTGCAGACACCACGATAAAAATTTATTAAATACAGAATAAATGTTTATTAATCCACGAATCAACGCTCGCGGATCGCGCTTTCTCACAAATCAACGCTCTCTTACTGATCAGGATCTTATTCTTAGTGCTTAGTTTTACAAATTTATTTTTCGATACAGCATCAAACATGGAATAATTGCTATTGATCAAATTATATTATTTTGCTGAGTGGTTTCTTAAAAATAATATCTTCAAGAACGCGAGCGTTGATTCGTGTATTTATTCTGTATTTAATAAACTATCTTAGATATAGGGCAGTCGAGTTTTCTTCCTCTTTCTTTGAACGTTGGACAGCTGCACTCGTGCATACCGAATTTTCTGGCAGTCCTTGAAAATTAGTGTCATGACAAGAAGGAGCCATTTAATAATAGGAATATTAATTCAAGTTTTCATCCTTGACCTCGTCCTCGGCTCCAATGACCCACGAGAACCCTTGTCTAAAGAAAAGGTAATAATAACCACGGAAGTGTACAAAAGTCCACCTCTTTACTCGATAGGACTTGCAGATTATCCGAGAGGAACGTGCAGAGATGATGTTGACTATTTCCTTCATCGGAATGTCAATGAAACCTCATTGACATACAATAGACCATTTTATAACAACATAATGAAGAATATGGACACATTACTTCTATCACCTGAAGACATTCATGCTTGCCCCATGTCGATACACAAATATCCAGTATTGGACACAACAAATTGGACTTGTTTGATCCCTGTATATTACGTCTGTGATGGTTTCTCTAGTTGCCTAACTGACGAGTGTGGTTGCGGAGGGGAGACTACCGAGCAGTCAGTAACCCAGACTCCGGTTTTCTACTGTGCTCAACAGCCTGGATGTGTCTCATTTCCACAGGTAACGAAAAAATAAGAAAATGTTTTTCTTTATCAATACAACAGTGCGAATGATCACTAATGGCAACATTCCTATATAATACTACGGCGTTTAAATTTGTCACTGTCAACAAAGTTCGAAAATTAACCAAATTTAATGACAAACCTTGTCGCCCCTAACTTCCGTTCGTCGGTAGATTACTTGGTCATAGATTGGGCAGCTTATTGTGTCTCATTGTAGTCAATCCATAATCGGCCCTTATATAATTTCGTGCATTTAGCATGCTTAAGAATCCTTAAGCAACCCTTTAGTTTTGTGTGTAAGCGATCGAAGGGTCAACAGTCACTGATAATTTACATTTAAACAACTCTTAAATTTAAGCGATCATCGACAGATTATTAACTCCCCACTTGTTTATCGCACGTTTCTAATAATAATGAACATATTCCTGTTTGTTTTATGAATATGACTGCACCTCCCACCTCAGATTTGCGATAACAAAGAAGACTGTTTAGACGGTAGTGACGAGAGTTTCTGTCCAAACAACGATCAGAGACACCAGAATAGGTTAAAAAGGGAAAATCCAGTTGCGCAATGCATAATCGATTACAGTCGTTCTGAAAATAGAATATGGTTTAACCAGCATGAGCAGTTAATAATGTTCTGTGAAAATAATTGCAGCAGTTATTTTTCAAAATCAGATCAATGGTATAAGTTTTGCAAGCTCCTAGGCTTAAACAATATTTTTAAAACTCCTGCACTACATTTTTGTCAAAGCCTTGATGCCGATAAAAAGCCCAGTCTGTTGTCAATTTGTGACAATGAAATAGACTGTACAAATGGTGAAGATGAAGTTGGATGTCCGGGCAGATTCTACTGCTATAACCACCTTGAAAATGTGTCCACAAGCGAAAGGGCAATGTCGGTTTCACTGGATAAGAAATGCGATCAAGTTAAAGATTGTCCAAATAATATGGATGAGTGTAATATTGACTGTGACCTAGGCAACATAGCTTCTCCAAAATCCCTCATAAAATCGAATGCTCTCTCGTGTTTAAATCTCATCTTTGGATTAGCTGTTTTGATTCTGAATTTAAGGAACGGTTATAAAGCAATGAAACGCACAGCCACTAATGTTATTGCGAAAACTGATAGACTTCTTTGCATACAAATATTTGCATATGACTTTATGATGGGAATTTATCTTTGCTTCATCGTGCTGGCATCCCTCGTTCTCCGATATACTGGAGGCTATTGTGTACGCTCTGACTGGTGGAGGTCGAGCGTTTACTGCGATATTTTGGGGGTGATCTTCTCTTTTGCAAGTCACGGATCTCTCTTGATAGTTTCTTTGATGAGTATTGTAAGGAGCATCCAGTGCACTGTATCATTTATCAGGATTCCTTATAAAGCCATAATTTTAAGACTGGTTGCTACTTCAACTTTAAGTTATAAAATTGATTTTTACGATATTATCGTGAAATATAATTCTGCCCGATTCATACTGCGATCAGCAATCATAAATAACGCTCAAGACGATATTAATTTGTTTAATGATTGATATCATAATTTGGCTTGTTAAGCTTGAATTGATCAGTGTTCTTATCATATATATGAACCATAATTACATACGATTACGAATTACAAATGACATGATTGTATTA